CTGTAGATGTGAAACTGGGTGACACCACCCTTCTGCCTCACTGTGGAAGACAGACAACCCAACCACTGTCTGCTTAGCACGTCAGGCAGAAAAAAAAGTACATTCTCTATAGAGACGAGATGTAGTCTCCAGACCCAAAGCTGTTTGCATCAGATAATAATATGCACAGACCTGGACACCACACTTTTGGAATTATGTTTCCAGATCTCTTCTATACTGTTTACTCAGTATTTTGAATTGTTGAGGGAAAAAAAAATAATTATGTTTTTTTCTAATTTTGATGCTTTCCTTCAAATTTCCTAGAGTGATCAGTACCCCTTAGCTTGCTGCAGTGCAGTTTTCTCATCATGAAATGGTATTACCCAAACTGGGCCAACCCCGGGTTTAGGCATGAAGCAGTAAAATTCCAAGTGAATATCCAGATTTTTTCAGCAGAGCATTAGCCCCAGAGGTTCCTTTGGTTGTTATTTAATCATTAGATTGCAGTAGCAGACAAAATCCCCATGAAACAACCCCAGCAGTACTAGGCATCATACACCAAGCCAAAAAAAGAGCTTGCCTCCCTCAAGAACTTTCTATTTAATATAAGAAGCAGGTGTGCCATATAAGCAGCCAGGAAGAAGAGGGTAATTGCAGCACAGGATCTCTAAGTGGATTCAAAGTGATTTCAAAAACACAGGACATAAGTCAATGCATCTCAGAAGTCCCTCTGACTCACACATTGCCCAGTGAGGCACTAACAGGCTGTGAGTACAAGGCACTGCTACCATGGGCTCTTCCATCCATCCATCCATCCATCCATCCATCCATCCATCCTTCCATCCATCCATCCATCCATCCCTCCCTNCCTCCCTCCCAGGGCTCACAAAACAGCACAGAGCTGTCCACACAACTCCTGGGAGGCACTGCTTACCAAGACTATCTCTGCTGAAACCTATACCATAACATAAATATACAGAAATTCATATCAAAGGAAAGGAAAAAACCCAAAGCCCTATGACTTCCTGTTACAGGCCTCAGTCAGATCTGTCTGCTCTTTCTCTTGCAACAAAAACATGAAAGTTGCCTGGACTCTGATATGAAAAAATTCTCAGTGATAGAGTGTTCATGTAAATCAACATGAGTGTGCCAAGTTGAAAGCAAAAATCAGACCAGCAGTAAGAAAAGAAATATGAAAAAAAATCTGCATTGTTGCCTAACTTGGTTAAGATTTATGCTGTAAAGCCAATACACTATCCAGGAATAACCTGAACTGCTCACATTGACAAGATTACATTGTCCAGCTGTGAACAGCAAGGCCATGCCTTGCCTTGGTGACCACTTGCTACAGTCATAACACAGATGATTTATCATGTCCTGTGGCACCTTCTACCAGCCTGTGATCCAAAACAGGCAGTGTACAGCTCTTATTTCTTTTTATTTGTTTTCATCTCAATTTATTAAAGCTTTGCAAGTTTATGATTGTATTAAATGTGAATGCCAATAATAGGAAATACAGAAAATAACACCAGGACCGGGAATGCTCACAAATCCAGCATGTTGGACAAAGATTTCTACAGTTTCAGATCCAAACTAAACATTTCAACATTCCTAATAGTTTAGGTTTCCCATCAACTGTAATTGAATAATTTCAGAGCCTCCTATGAAATGGGCTCTGGCAATCTGGAAGCCCCAAGAGCGTCACCATCACATGATGTACAACAACAGCTAAGGTGAACACAGATAAATCACAGCCAGACCTAAATCAAAATTTCACAGCCTCCTGGTGGAGAACCAGAACATCTGTTTCTCCTCAGATTGCCAAGACTTTGCAGAAGCCATCACTTCCACAAGAGACTTCTGAGAACTTTATGCCTTCACTGGTTTTCACTGCAATGTTTATTGTTATATGAACTTTCTACATTAGTGTACAGACCAGCTTTGATGACAATGGCTTCTGGTCCAAACCTTAATTTTCTCCATACTCACTTGAGCAAAGAATAGCACGAATTCTAGACAATTCACTTGAGCAGCAGAAATATGGCATTCAAGTGCTTGTTTTGTCTAACATCCTCTAGTGACTTCCAGGTGAGCCCTCAGTTCCATGATCTGTAGCATCCTTTGATCACCTTGCTACAGGATATGCAAGGTATTGTAAGATCTCTGGATGAAGACACACTCCTGTCCATAAATAATCTTCTTGCAGCAGAGACTTGTGTCACAGTTAGGCTGTGGTCCCAGCCCAGCTGGTGAGTGGTAAAAATTCTCTCCCCCTTTCCCCATGCCCTCTGCCTGGCATGTCTTTCCACAGGGACTTCAAATGCATGTTTGTCTGACTGAAAGCTGATGAGTGAAGAATAGAATTGGCTAGAATACTCAGGAAATTACACCTTCCAGACAGGATACTTCCTCACATCATCTTTGTTTCTTTCCTTTAGTTAAACCTGCAGCTTGGGCTATCTGCTCTGTTGATAGGGAAATAATATTCAGGAGGGTACCTGTGTATTGCTCATTTTCATGCTGAGCATAAATGCCTTACCTGGTAAACCAAATAACTCACTTAATATGAAACAATATTGCTGATAAAGAGGATCCAAGGGAGATGCTGTAAAATAGAATTGGTGAAATATTCTGGCCACTGTAGTAGAAATAATGTACAAGTTTTTGATTAAAGTGTAATTTATTGTCTTCAATGATGTGGGGAAGGGGATGCTAAATTAGTTCCTGGGATAAGAAATCAGCTGCCACCAACATTGTGCTCTCTAGAAACAAATCAGTCCATGCTATAATGCCTCCTTCTGCTCAGGCAGCATTTGGTGGTTGGGTTTTGGGGGCATGGGTTTTGTCATGCAGTCAGCATGTTCCCATAAAGTATACTCTCGGTCAGAGGCCACCTTAGGTATGGGGTCCACCATCCTCCACAGCATATGTCTTGTGAGAGAGAAACTGGGGTCAGCCTAAAGGCCTGGTGAGAGCCAACTTACTCCATTTTTTAGGAGCTTCATTAAAGCCGCTTCACTAAACCCCCAGCCTCCCTGGGGTGCTACCCCTCTGCACAGCAAGAAAGAACAGGATCGATTCAGGAGGTGTTTTACACCCACTTTGCATTGGTGAAAATCAATAGACAGCACTGGCTGAAGCTGCTTCACCAGCACTCTGCTTCTTCCTGAAACATAAAAGCATTTGTAACCCACTACAGCTGCTTGTGCTTAGCTGCAGCAGCCTTGTGCTGCCAAAACAGCAAAAAGCTGCCAGAGGATATTCAAGAATGAGTGTGATCTAAGCCATAATGACTTTACACTTCTTCTTCAGCTCAGACCTTATTTAAAGGAATAAAACTTTCCCTGGTGTCATATTTAGGTGTGGCCTGCTGGCTGCCTTCTGCCAGGGGTCTGCAGGCTTAGAGTGACTGGGCCACAGACCTGGGCAGGGGGTGTTTTGTGTCTCCCTGCTAGGTGTTGGTGCCCATGCCACAAACACTACTGCTGGATCTGCCCATCTTCCACAACATTCATGTCCCATCTTAGCACAAGTGAACATGCCCAGGGCTATTTTCACTTGCCTGACTCAACTCAGCAGCATTGGGCTGTCCTGGAGCACGAGAGACTTCCCCACAGATCTAGCAAACACAGCACAAGATCTAGGAGAGGGGTTCACCCCTCTGGAGAAACAGCTAGAGGCCAGGTGCTACCCTACAGATCTCAGATGACACTAAACACACAGTGCTAACACACAGTGCTAACCCTCACTGTCTTGCTGCAAGTGGCAAATATTTTTATTGAAAGCCTGTGAGGATCTTTTGAAAGTACACATTATTCTGGGGTTTTGTTATAAAAAGAAATCAAAGGTCAGAAGAATTAATCATGCCCAGACAGGAGAAAATGCATGACTGTTCACGGGGAATTTGCCCAGAACCACAGCCCCCTTCTTGACAAAATTTAGAAGAGCATTCCCAGCTGAGAACACAACTAACACCAGTGGAGCAGCTCCAAGGACTATCTTCCTCCCAGCCCTCTGGTGTGTAACTTAGGCCCAAGCCAGCTCCAGGGACAGCATGATCCTGTTCAAGAGCTGATGGAAAGCCAGGCAATTGAAATGCAATTGCAGGAGCTGCTGGGTCACTGTGGTCTGCACCACTCTCTACCAGACCTTTCTGGTTTTGTCCCACACCCAGCAATGCAGACACTATGTGATGAGGGCATGACATGAAATCAAGTTGTCATTTTTCAGAATGATGGAAATCCTCCACTCATTTGTGGATGGTAAAAAGACTTTAACACAAATGCTGCCACTGAGCACCAGAAAGAAGCCTGCACTCAGAGCAGCAAACTGGGAGTCTTTACAAAGGAGGTCAGGAGCTGCATAACAGCTCTTAGAAAATGTTTTCTCTCCTCATCAAAGTCCCCTCTGCTGTCAAAGAAGCTAGACAGCAGGGAAAACACAGTGGTAAATCACATCCTGAGAATCTCACAGCATAAACTTCCCTTTGATTTTTGTGTATTAAACTACGACTACACAGCTATCTTTTTTTTTCCCCCCATCTTTGCAGCAGAAAATACAATACAGGAAGGTAATTTCTTTTCCCTAAAAACACAGACTTAGGAAGAGCTCATTTTAACATGAGGCTATTATCTGTTTAAGTTTGCATTTCTTTGTTCCTTCTATGCTGTTTTATTACCTCCTTCTATCAGCTATATTCAATGGCTTCTTAAATTCTGCCTCCAGCCACAAGGAATGTAAGCAAGTATAGCTGATGTAAAATGACATCCATGCCTCCATTCACTGAGCAGTGATTGTCTGCTGAGTACTTGCAGGGAAAGTCTCTCTCTTTTTTTTTCTCCTCAATACAAATCCCAAGGCAGCTGAGGTTACACAACCAGCTTCATACTTAGTTTAAAATATGTCTCAATTTATATGCCATCTGCAGCTCTCATCATTAAATGAGACGGCCACAAACAGGAAAACTCACAACAACGATAAATAATCAGGACTCAAATAAGCACTCTAGTTTGAGGCAAGAATCTACATTGATCAAAATGCTCAAATTGGTGCCAGCTCAATGAATGGGACAATCACATCACAAACCACTTGTCTGGGGCACACGGCCCACTTTCCAAAGTCACGGATACGTTTTCTAGCTCAGGAAATTCCTGACCTGCAAATCATTAGAGAGTAGAAGAAGCATCATTAGATGCTTGCCCTTTTCTTTACTCTTCCTGAGGCATCTTCTTTAGCATCATTGCCAGAGAACAGATGTGGAGGTAGGAGGGCTTCTGACCTGACCTGATGTACATGAGAACTGCTGTGGTCTCGGGCACAAATCCATGGCGCTGGGAGCAGGGTATGGATGTGCTATGGGAAGCAAGAGGCAGGGGCCAGTTCAGTGGAGGTCCTCACCTTCCCTCAGAGAATCCTTTATGTCCAAATTACTGTGAATTGCTTCATTTACTTACATTCCTACTCATGCAGGAAGAAATATGTTGGAAAGACCTGTTACTGAAAATAAAAAAAAAAATTAAAAAGCAAATAAAAGACCTTAGATTCCACATTAAAATCTGGACCAAGTCAAAGGCTTCCCTGGTATTGTTCACTGAATAAAGCACCCCCCACAATGTCTAAATGCATTACAGAAGTCAGTCATGAGTGATACCATTGAAAAGAAATGCTGGACTCATAGAAATTGGAGCCTTCATCTTTGAGAGCATATAAACCCAAACTCATCTATATCCCATGACAAAAATTACAAGACAAGTGGCATTTATTTTTTTGCATAGTGAAGATGAGGAAACATAAGTCTCCTAAGATTTCCACTAAAGTATGTTGATTGCCTTTGGGATTTAGATTTGCAGAGGGTTTTATGATTGCATTTCAAGGCACATTATATGCTCTGGAGAGGCACTATAATTTTTTTTGTGGGTTTTTGTGTTTTTTGGGTTTATTTTGGTAAGGCCCCAGGAGGATTTCTAGATTTTCAAAATTAGAGATGGAAAGATTTATCTTGCCCCCTGATGAAACCCCCACCAGAACACAACTCACTTCTAAACTGTACTGCCAAGGACTTGCCTAATCTGGAATGCCAAAATTTGTATCTGGAGGCAACTCTAAATTAACTTTAAGTGTTTCACATTATAGACCAATCACCAACATGACCGGCCCTATCATCAGCTTTTGTTTATTAATCCTACTTTTTTTAAACTCTCATCCTTCCCCATTATTGTAGGAAAATTGCTGAACTTCAGAAATATTTGTAGAAGCCACTATGGTAAAGCTGGACAGACTTATGCTCAGTGGTACCTAATTTTCTAACTAAATTCCTATTGAGGTCATTAGGGATCTCTGCAGAGTGAAATCACCAGGCTTTGTCCCTCAGAGCTCTCATGCAAGAGGAATAAATCAGAAAGCAGTGGAGCAGAATCTGTTCTCGTACCATTGTCTGCTTTTTTTCTTGTTATTATTTTCTTTGAAATCTCTCATGCTTGATTAAAGAAATTTCTCCTCAGTTTTCTCTTCTGTTTTTATCATGCTTTTAGATAAAAAGCCTTTGCACGGCAGGAAGAAGAGCAACAATTTGCCAACTCAAGCTGCATTTACCATCTGGTACACAAGAACTTAGCAGACTGCCTGTTCCATCAGTGCAATAATATTGTGTTGCTTTGAATGACCCCATGCTCTGATCTGAAGATAAGGAAGTTGGACCCAAGATGACAGATAAGGACATTCACCTCCCGTAATAACCTGCATTTCCTCAGCTGCTGTCACCAATTACCACAGCACTAAACACAGACTGATAACAAAAGATTGTTACAATTTCAGAAAAACAGCTTTCTCTGCTTTTTCCTCTTTGTGCTTTACTTGGGTGTAGATGGCTGCAGTGCCAGATGCAGACAAGCTGCTCAGAGTGAGACCATGGAGTCCCATTTCCCCGGAGAAAGGAGAGCAGAGCAGGGCCCTGGCCACATCACTAAAGCCAAAATTTCCAAAGGAACCAACATTTCTGAGGGACAGGTGTTAGACATCTTAAATAAGTCTTATTTCCCAAAGGAAATTATTCAACATACTTCAAGAAATGATAGTGAGATTTTTGAAACCTGGCTGGTCAATGATTGCCTCTGACATTAGACATCCACAGCAGTGAAGCAAGTAAAATAAAGCATACATTTCCTAGGAAGAGTATAACAGTCTGGAAACCTCAGAGTGAAATGAAATGAGCACATCTTCTTGCCCTCTTGATGTCCATCTGGGGGATTTAATCAGCAGTGGCAAAGAGGAGAACTTAGTGATAACACACATAATTCCTGTATCTGGCACTCCTCCCTGCCCATGTTCCACTGCTTCTGCCTCCAGTGGTTTGTTCTTACTGGAAGCCACTGCTTTCTCCTCTTCCAACTCCACAGTTACTCATCAGTTTTTGCTGCAGTGAACAGGGGATGTAATGTACACTGTGGTGTATTCAAAAATCAGCTTCTCATTTCAGGGACCAGGATGAAAAACTGGACGTGGAGGAACTGTTACTTTTATGCATAAACTCTGTGCCTACCGTATCACCTACTACTGTATCACCTGGCACCAAGTGATAACACTGACAGCCACCAGCCACCGCTATTCATCTTCCCCACAGTCAGTAGGAGCCTAAATAACAAAAACACGGTATTTGGGGCTCAGGCAGAAAGACAATAACAGAGTGCTCCCTGCAAAGTAAGACTTGGATTTGCTGGAATTGTACACTTAAGCGTCATCCTTTAATAGATAGATGAAGCACGGGAATATTCAGACAATCATAACTTTTGGAGACTAAAAAAACCCTGTTAAGCCTTACCCCCTGCCAGGGCATATAACAAGTAAAATTCCCTATCCCAATCTCTGTATTTACCAAATGAGAGAAGAGGTAAGAAAGGTGGGCTGCTTCCCAGGTTTTCACAGCTCCTGTCACATGATGGTGAAGGAAGGAATACAGCAGGGGAATGAGAGGCAATCAACCTCAGCCATCCCCAGTCAGAACATTTCTATGGAATACTGGCATGTCCCTTACAAAGCACGAAACACATATTAACCAGTCAGTTTTTTGCCACATTATAAGGAGAAATGATAAGGATTACATGTCAAGGACACTTTTATCCTCAGCTGTCATGGTAATTCCTTCCACTATAATACATTTACTAAAAAAAGTAATAAGTAAAAGCTATAAGGAAGGGAGGACACTGTCCATAAGCAGGAGTCATGAATTTCAAGCCAGGTATTAAATCTTGGCTCACATCTACAGGATGACCAACTTCACAAGCATCTATGTGACGAAGCAAGGGAGCACACAATATAAGTGAGGTGCTCATAATACACCCATTGATGACAACGAAGATAAGATCCACAGTGAGATATCTGCACAGCCTTGCTATGAAAATAGCCACAAATAGGATGTGGTCCAGGAAGGCTCTGGAAAAGGAACTCTCCAGCAACAATGGCAGCAAACCAGCTGAAATATCACAGCTTTTAAATATTGCATAACAAATTGTTATGTAATTCCTACTAGAGTTTCTAAATATTATGAGTTATTGTGCCATGTATATTTTATAATGTCAATGTTTTAATTAAAATGGGATCTTATTTACGACTCAGAGGAGTCTGTAGCTTTATAAAGACTTCTCAGGATTCAGCCACCACACTACCCATCAGGAGAGACGGTGCAGACCCACGGAAGGAGTTCTCCCAGGGCAGAGCTGATCTAACTGACCACTGTCAAACGGGGCTGCAGCTTTCTTAGCTCTCCTGTCAGGGACAGGGATGTAATATCGTCTTCTTTCTTTCTTGAGAACAGATGAAGGGAATGACTTCAATACTGACCTTGACTTTAAGGCCTGGAAGAAGGCTTTTTACAGTTATTTGAAAGGGTGACACAGACTTCATTCTGCTTTGTACCACTTCCTAACAGAAAAACTGATCATACCACAGCAAAATGCAGAGCAAAAATGCATTAAAATATCTCATTTAACTATTACTGCTCTTGCTAGAAATGCCAGGACTAGCTGGGATCTTTATCATCTAAATCCTTCCACCTTGAAGAGTGACTGAATAGTGCAATACCGTAAAGCTATTAAAATTCCTTTGTTCGTAGCCTTGTTTCTATGAAATGGTTATTAGAGAAATGTCATTAGGGAGAAAGAGATGTTGCTCAGTTTTCTGGAACAGGGACGTATTCAGAAGATAAATTCATATTATTATCTCTTCCATTTTTCTCTAGTGTGTTTACTGATGTTCTGCCCACAGGAGAAGGCAATCTTTCTTGATGAAAAAGTAAGCTGTTTGGAAACAAAAAAAGCAGATCAAAGAGGAGAGCAGCTCAGTGATGGAGGATGTCAGCTAGAGGGGGTGAAAGCTAAGGTACTGCTGATTGAAGAAGCCATTTTTGTTCAACTCCATGTGCACATGATAAAAAAGCAGGGCTCACTTTCCACATATCTGTTCATTTCACAAATTGTTCAAAGTGGTAATTTTTCAGCCCACCTACTGAAGCAGTATCTTCATCTATAAGATATGCAATAACCTGTAGAACAGAACAGGCACCACTCAAGCAAGCAGGAATGGATTTGCCTAGAAAAAGGGGTGGTTAGAACTCCTCAGCATCACAGACACTGATTTGGAGGCTACAGCTCAAAATAACACTGGATTTTTCATAAATTGTTGTTCTCAAACCCCAAAAGTTCTCACAGCTGTATTTGTTGGCCTCTTCACCAGAGACCCTCTGATTTGTTTCATGAGGCCATGCCTTGTTCCTAATCTCACGTCTGAACTCATCATCAGCACAGGGGCACTTCCCATTTTCAAACATCCCTGGAAACCTCCCTTTTCCAGACTTCCTCAGGGAACCTTGTTGAGCTGTATTTAAAAACAGACATATATTTCTTCCTACCCTTTTCCAGGCATTCTCAAAGCTCCACAGAACAGGGCTATTTTGTTTATAATAAACCAGGCACCTGGCAAGACATTCTAAGCACTTCAATAAAAGATGAAGAATGAGGCAATGCTGTTTATGTTCAATGTCTCTGTCCCACTTGGCTTAGCCATTTAGTATCTTTGGTTAATTACTGATGGGTCCACTAAAGCTAAGTACCAGTCACACACCATCGGCTTTTACAGCTCCGAATACGGATTTTGGATACGGATCTGGATCAACTCACTGCAGTCTGCTGAACAGCATTACTTCACCTACCACTGAGCAGCAAAGGGAGAAGAAACTAAAATGTAGGTGCAGATGTGAATTTTGACCCTTCCCCATATTCTTCTAAAACCTCCTGGAAACAGAGAAATCAAAACATAAAATTGCTGGTCTGCTTATTTTGGTGTTCACAGTCACGATACCAAACAAAGCTTGTTGGAAACCTGGCAAGGAGAATCTTCCTGCAGATTATGCTCCTAAATTTGAGGCTGCTACAGCTTGATCATAATTATCAAACTCAATCATGTAACTGAAACTAATTCTTTTCCCTTGAACTCCCAAGACCCTGTAACACAAACCCTCCTGATTGTAACAATGTTTGAATTGGCCTCCCACCACAAAAGTTAGCAAGCCTGACCAAGAGATTTATAAAGATTGGGGTCACAAATTCTAAATTAAATGCAGCAGAACAAGATGCACCACAATTAATTCACATGCAAGTTCACATGCAGCAGCAGAGTCAGTTAAATTCATGTATCCTCACTTAAAGTAAGCTGTTCCAGTCATCACCTTATCATTACAAACAAGGTAATTACTGGTGTACAGGTGCATGTGCAGCCATCTACAATAAACAGGGATGCCAAAATTAAATGGACTCCATGAGTAACCAACCCCAAATCCACACTACCTACATTAGCTGGCAGTAAAATTGCCCTGTCTTCTTAGTAACATCCATTGAGATTTGACACAGGACAGTGCATAGTTATGCAACCCTTCTACTCAGGGCTGCTACTGAAATATTATTTCACATCATTCACTCCTGCTATGTGGCCTGGAAATAATTGTCTGGAAGAGGCTGGATTAATCTTTTTTTCCTAAGGAGAGAGCACTTCTTTTAAAAGAGTAGTAGCACTAGCTCTAGCCTATGTGTAAAAGAGGGTTATATAAAACTCAGTATCAGTGCATGTGTTTTCAAGGGATGGCCTTCAGACTTCTTTGGGATTCAAGTGGTCCCCCATGGACCTGCTGTGAATCTGAACAGAGTGGTGTTGCACTATTGCAATGCATGATGTGGCATAAAGAGTGGCACTGAAACAACTTCTGCAGCATCCAAAGCCAGAGAGAGAGAGGGGCCAAAGGAGAAGGGCATTGTAATACCTGCTTAGCCTTTTTAAAAAACTGGCATCCTCCTCAGGGGCATTCTGACTTATGCTGGCTATTAAGCTTAATATAGCAGATTCCAGCTATCCCAACCTGGGATTTATGGGAGATTCTTTTATGAGGCAGAGAGTAAAACTTCATCTTTGGCTCATGCAATTATAAAAGAACATATTGATTAGTGGTGGAAGAATGAATAACCCAGGGAAATCTTAATAGTTCAGTAATCTCCAGTTCTTGACTTTCTACCCTTTTCCTACCTGGCATAGCAAAAGCAATTAGCCTCATGCTTATCTCTGTTTCATACTCACCTGAGGACAGGAAGCTTGGACAGATAGGGAATATCTAACCCAGAGCCTGTTTTCACCAGAACACTCACTAGAACCCTTTTTGTAGCAAACTCTCGCAGTCAGAGCACTTAGCAGTTTGTCGGCCTGTCCCTGATGAGGTTATGCTCTGCCCCAAGGTACACAGCAGCAAGGACAGGGCCACCATTGAATTCCACACTCCCAGCAGAGACAAGCCCAGCATTAAAACCTGGTTAGGGGGGATGGAGGAGAGGGCTATGCTGCAGGCTGCCTGTCACAGAGGGATGTGGAAGCCCGTGGAAGAGGCTCCTTATCTGGCAGCCGTCTTTCCAATCCCACATACACACTGAGAGCTATTCCCAGCAGGACTGCAAATTCTTAGATGAGCCACTGCAGGTATCCCCTTCTTCTCCTTGGACCACTTTGTTCCACCTTCTCCTGGTGCTTTGAACAGTTCTCTTGAAGTCTGAGGGAAAGGGGAAGCTGGAGAGAAACAGCAGCAGGAAGATGGGGAAGGCAAACCCCAGTGTGACCTTTCACTCCCAGCCAAGCCAAGAAGCCACTTCTACTCCAGAGGGGACACCCACAGCACGGGCAGTCCTGTCCTGCCCCAAGTGGGACATGCAGGCAGAGCAGCAGAGAAGTGAGGGGGTGATTCCCTGCTGTGGCCTGAGCCCGCTTTCATTTGCAGACCAGCACATGGCATCACCCTTTTAGAATTTCCACTGCTGTGATCCCTCCCGTTGAACACCGTTTGATCAGATTAACGAGCAGCGGCCCTGCTCACCACTGAATGCCAGCATTAACTGGAACACAATAGGAGCACAGGCCTAAGCCCATTTTTTCTGCAGATAGCAAACCTGTCAGCGGAGCAGGAGTGTTGATGTCATCTTCTGACTCAGTGACAGTGCCTGTTCCTGGGGTCACCCAGCATTCCAACACCATCAGCATCCCCTCTCCAAATCTCATCTATTATTTGCTCATTGTGGTTAGATTTTGCCTGGAGGAAGAAAGGAGTGACAGGCTGACATCACCTGCTTATTACTAGAGGGGTAGAGAAGAACGATCTCCAATAAAGGCTTGGGTGAGGATGTCCTCTCAGGGTGTGCTCGGAAGGATGGTGTGTTCGGGAGCAATACAAGCTGGTAAACTTTTAAGGGCAGCAGCTGTCTGCTCAGTGGCTGCTTCTGATCCCTTGAACTGCAACTTGCTGGTCCTTCAAGGGCGTGGCAAACCCCCCACTGGAAAAAAACGTGCTGGGGACTACTGGCAGCAGACAGGGTCCTGTGTGGAGCAAAGACATTTGTCTTTGCAAAAGAAAAGAACAAAGTTCTTCAGGGAGAAGCTGAGACTCTGTGGCCCTACAGAGCCATGGATCCCACCACAGATCCCACAGCCAACAGCAACACCAGGTAAGGGATCAGCAAGAAGATCCCCATGCAGCCCTCGATGCCAACTGATCTCAGCCTCTGGACTGAGGCCTGCAGCTGGATGCAAGTTGCAGAGGCTAAAAAATGTGAACTATCTCATTCAATCAGTCAGTCTCCCCCTCTCTGCTTGCGTGTTTCCTGGTAACAAACAGTTAGAAATGTTATCAAAGGCATTTGTTACTGAAAATTGTTT